CTGTCCACCATTAAAAACATCTTTCCAAGCAGCCTCCATGTCTCCCGTGTCTTTTTTCCCACCTTGAGCCGAACCCAGAAGGACATTTCTTTCATCACACCTAAGACTACATTTCTAAACACATGTGATTTCGCAGAAATTGCTTTAAGCGACTCTCAAGAATTGGTTACGTGTGCTGCTTGAAGATGCAAGGGGTGTTTGGCTTTGCCATACTAATAAGGCACAACCAGCTTAAAAGGTGAAATGAATCATTAAACACTTATCCTTGTTATCTAGCCAGAGCGCTATTAATATAAGTGGAATTGCTGGCTCTGTAAATTGGATTTTTAACCTTACCTGTGCCTCTTAAGGTGAGTGATTACATCAGCTGCACCGTTTGCCTTATCTTACAGGAAGCTAGCTTTAACAGGGCACTTTGGTACACTGAAGTTCAGATCACTACCTATCTCATCAGCTAGAGAATCACTTACATGTGCCCCCTCAGAATACCAAACACTCTCCTTTCCACCCTGAAGCTAAAATTAATTTTAATCTTAATATTCCCTGGTCTGCCCAATACTTGAACTTCTCATCAGTATTTTGACATCCACATTGAACGCTAGTGAAATCCGTAGCTGGTGAATCTTTATACAGCAAAAGAGAAGGGCTGAGGAAATGAATACATTATATTTCTATATCCCAGCATACAGGATATGCTATTTTAGACCGCTAATATTTATTATTTGGAACAATATCATTTTCTCTCCAGCGCTCTATCATTCTATTTTATCGCTACTGAAGATACTCTGCTTTGTTTTATTAATATTTAGTGCACCCTGATTTTATGAAAATCATTCAGAACCAAAATCCCATGACATTCCATTTAGTAGATTTACTTCTAAAGTAATCGCAGGCTAAATTCAAATACAGTTATCAAAATCAGAATGTCCAGTTTTGCAAAAATTGCCTAGTTCCCACATTTTCTTGACATTTTCATTTCAGATCTATTCCCTAATTCAGAGCAGAGGTGGGTTCCTACTAGTTCGCACCAGTTCGATAGAACCAGTTCGTCAAATCTACTGAACCGGTTAGAAGAGGTTCCACCAGTGGACCCGGAAAGCAGGCCACACCTACAGAAGAGCTTCCAAAAATTTTTGAAACCCACCACTGACACACACACATGCACACACACACACGCGCGCGCACACACACACGCGCGCACAGGCACAGACTCACACAGAGAGAGAAAGAGAACGAAAGGAAGAAATAAAAAAAGAAAAAAGAAAAAAAGAAAGAAAAAGAAAGAAAAAGTGAGAGAGAGAGGAAAGAAAAAAAA